ACCCATGGCGGCTGGTCTGGTTTAGCTGCCGTGCTAGATAACCGGTTTGTGAAAAACAAGCGAGGAGGCTGGAAGAACCCTTTGACACCGACCGCTGGGGCTAGGGTCACCCCCATAAATTTTGACCTTCCTGCAGGTGACTGGATGCTCTTTCACAGCCAGCATGATTTCGCCCGTAGGTTGCTCTAGCTGGTCTGCAACGTACTGAATCCCGGCTGTCTTAAAGTTCTCTCCTTTTGAGAAGGTGGTCATTTCATACGTAGACGATCAGTAAGATGGCAGAGCCCGACTGAAAGCTCATGTCTTCGATCGCATGTTATGAGGGTTTTCTTGAAAGGCCGGTACAAACACCTCACTATTTTTCATAATATCCAGCAGCAACTGTCACCCGAGTGGCTTCAAGGTTCGAGAACGACCCAGTCAGTCTCAAGGATGGAGGTTATTTGACCATCCTCTGACTGCTCGCCGCCTTAACCGGTTGCGAAACGTCACTACCTGTGTGATATGACCTTCCCCTATGTGGTGGTATTGGTGGACCCTTGCGATAAGGTAACAACAACAATAACAACGGGGCCCTCTACAAGAGCTCGTTGTTGAAAGTAGGTTAGTTTGAAGCTGCGGACAAATACAAGGACACTACGCGTATTAGTGACTCTTCAAAAAAGCATGGTACTGACCCAGTATATCCTTGTCGCATCACCAATGTGTCCATCTTTTAAAAAGGTAGCAGCTGGAAGCCGAATCAATTTTGGTTATGGTCAGGCCACGTCTACGAGGACGGCTGCCATGGCCGTTGGGTTTCTAAAGAGCTGCGTCCCAGTTTTTTGTTTTCTCTCGGAGATTTTTACCGGTGGTCGAGGTTGTCAACTAGATGTGCTGGCAATGTGTGCATGTGGCTAGCCAAGAGGGGAGGCATTTAAAATATGATGAGGGCTAAGGAATTGACTACTTTGTAGCGCCGACATCCTTGGTAGTCCCAAGTAGAACGCCTTTAGTGTAGAAGTGTATTTCAACGTGTTTGATCTTATAATCTTTCGCTGCGTGGTTAACCAGAGGAAATGGTACACATCCTATCCAAAAAACTACTTAACACAGCGGAAAGCCTCAGCTGACTTTTTGCAGATTTGGCAGGAAGTATCAAAGGTCGAGTTTATACTGGCCCTATGAACTTACCGGTGTTTACCTTCGTGGTTATTTTTCAATTTTTTTCTGATTGCAAGGCCATTTTCAACCATTGGTTCTTGCCAAAAGGATTATATGTGCCTCCCATGGTTGTAGATTTTCCTTATGGGCTGACGTGCGGTGAAATGGTTATGATGACTGGTAACAGGATGCTTGACACCGTCCAGGCCTGCGGCATCACTCACCTTGAAAGATACAATGTATACACAGTTCGTACCCACGCCTGATAAATAAAGAATTGGTGAGGACGGACACATGGCTTTGGTAAACAGGAAGGAATGGGAAGTTTTACGCAGACCTGGTGTAGAAGTTGTTGAAGTACATAATTCCAGGAAGTACGTAGGTATTATCACTTGACCAAGCATTATCAGGTGGAAACTCACACCACCGCCTCTGACGACTCCACAATCCTAATGAACCAGACCGGCTCTCGTGAGGCCTCACGAAGGTCTCGGGTTGAGAAATACTGGATGGTATCCGACAACGTCTGTCACTGGCGAAAACTTAAGTCGGTTATGCCGACTGTAGCTGCAAGGCTCTCCCAGGGCTTAAATTCGTTGAACACAGGAAATCTGTGCAATTGAAAATGACGATCTCACACTCTGAGAACTCTGTGGACGAACCGCGAGCATCTTAGCAACTAGGAGCACATGGGCCGAAAGGGATCACAGCTGCGTGTCAAGAGGCCTACCTTCGGAGTAAGGGTGTGATAATCAAAGGTTTCGTCAAAAATAACATTGCAGTCTGTTTGTCAAAAGGATGTGGAATATACCCATAGGGACATGAAAGAAAAACAAGTATATTTCGACGAAGAGTCTCTTTTCGGAGGTTTTCAAACATGTACAATTGCAAATTTATGCATTTTTCTGGTGTAGGGATTTGACAGTTAACGACAGTTTGTCAAACATGACAGCACAAATGATGTCAATAAATGAGCTGTCATTAAAATAAAAAAACTAAAGGCTGATGAGTAGTCAGTATTAGTCAAAATAAGTTTATACAAGAAGTTTCGCGAAATATCGATGTGATTGGAAACTGACTTTAGATCAGGTGGAGCATAGCAATAAGAATGAGTAGCAAATTACTTGGGTGAACAGTGTCAAAACAGAAAGATGAAATGAACGAGCGTAGTATAGGAGACTGAAGACTAAGACTGTGAAGGGATATTGGGATGGACAATCTTCTTTTGGGTGCACAGTTCAAGTTTCTCAAGAGCTTCGGTGATGCAAAGAATATGAAGACATTAAGCCTTTGAAAGGTTTCTTTTTACTTTATAGATGACTGAACGAGAAGGTTCTTGATTCCTGTTTACGATGTGTTCAGTTATAGCACTGATTATCGCTACATTGTTACTTCTTTGTAACCACGCGGGGTAGTGTAATGTGGGCAGATCATACCTTTAGTTGAAGTGGCGGCCGCAGTGAATTCCGATTCTTCAAGCTGATTGAGGAACTGAATGTAGTGAAAACAAGAGGTCCGTAACGCGATATGGGAGAACCCAACTTTCGTCTCACTAAGACTGCGGCTGCACTAGTGAAGAGTTTTTGATTGACAGCCTAGGTATCCTCTCTCCTTCAGACTGAACTGATGGAACCGGTATCAGCTTCCATTAGGTTTGCGAGACCGAGGAAACCCAACCTTCGCGTCGTTGGAGCATTAAGCGACCGAATACTCCGGCTACTCGGATGTCACTGGGACAGACAGGTTGAAAAAGTGACCACATACGTCAATATGTGACCACCCATCAGATATTAACATCCTACGCAATCATGAATGCCGTCAGTCAGTGGATTCCGCCTTCGCCGCCGAGGCACTCCAAGCCGCCTGGTGTAATAAGCAACTTCACTCGCAAACTACTAAGGACAAAAAGACACCAATGGGGGTGAACGCCAGAGGAATGGCACCAAACACACACACAGACTGTTCAAATGGACAAGAAACACATGCATGAACGTACTGAGAGTCGATCATCATCAGCAGAAAGTTGGGCCTACAGGCATGTTTGTTCATAATTCAAGAAGTGTATTCTGTTGCCATATATTTTCTACAGGCCAAAGCGGGATTCCAGCAACTGCTTGGACACAATAGGATGGCTAGTAGTGACACTGAAGTATCTGAAGTCATAGTTGATCAGTATGTGCAAGTGGTTCCGTTATCAGTCTCCTACCCGGGAGTCTCTGAATGTCCCGCTACCGAGGTAGGACCTTCAGTTGCTGACCTTGCGCGGCACAAATCGTCGCTGGTCATAAAAGAGACCTCTGCAGAATCGAACAAAACTTGTGTGACATTACCGTGGGGAAGAGCATCAATCTCGACCGGATCTTCAAGTGATTGAAGTTGTTTGTTCATTAAGTCAGGGGAAGCCGCTCACACCCTGGAATTTTCGATGGTGTAACACTGATCCTCAGATTAGTTTAACAGTTCATTTCGAAGAAACGCAGACCCGTAACGCTCCTATCCATGCCTTTCAAATTGGTGTAACCTCCAGTTTATGATGGACTGAGGGTTAAACTCATGATGGGTAACTTCTTCAGGGCCAAACATAACAGATTAAGGGAAAGGTACTCTTGCAGTACCAATCTGCTCACCTCACCAGACTGATGGACTGGGATTGTTGATGGTCACTTTCATACTGATGTTGTTTATCTAGGCTTTTCTAGGGCATTTAATCACGTTAGTCATGGCTGCCTTATTGATAGGTTAAATTTAATGCAGATCAAATTACCACCCATCGGCTGGTTATCTTATCTACGAAGTCGTTCATTCGGAGTTCGAGTAAGTTTTTCTATTTCTGAGGGATAAGATATCTTGATGGAGTCACAGAGTGATCGGCACTAGGGTCCCTTCTTTTTAATGGCGTTGCCTCAGCAGGTTTCTTCTGAAGCCATTCTTTTTGTTGATGACACGAAACTATAGAGAGTCGTTAGAAGTCAGGAAGATGGTATTTCCCTACGCGACGACTTAGCCCACCCCCAAAGGTGGATGGCCAACAACAGCTTTGCATTTATCCATGAAACTGTAGGGTTGCACGTCTGAAACATGATACATGTCATGTACACAGCCTAAACAGTATGGAGCCTGAAGTCTCGCAGACGGAGAAGGATTTGGGCGTTTTGGTCCCTCAGGACTTGAAATCCTATGCCAACTGTGACAGAAGCGCATTTCGTAGAAACTTGACGTTAGTAACTCAGGCGGATTTTAGGACGATTGGATCATAGATGTTTACGCACAATCTCCAACACATTCATACGGCCTCACCCGGAGTTTGGGGTCATAGTCTTCTCTTCTGTCTTCAAAAAGACAAATTAACCTTCAAACGTGTTAAGAGGAACATGATCACATTTGTTCACGTACTTAGGTCTAAAACATACAAAGATCGGTTGAACATGATCTATATCCCATGGAACATAGAGGACAAAGAGGGCATTAGACGATAGCTCATAACATCTTGGAAACCCCTGGGTACCCATCGCATCACCAGTTGAAGTTAGCAGTAGCACCAATCTTAAGGGACACATACAGAAACTTAGCAAGTTACATATCAGACACCACTTCTATTCCCTGGGAGTTATTAAACCCTGCGAAGTTCTTCCTGTGGAAGTATCTAGACCACTTCATCTGAATCCTGTAAACGCTGGCTTGATGTATCCTTAAGATAACTAACTTTTAACCGCAATTTCTTTCTCCTCTCTTTACTTGTTTATAGGTCAAGAAACCACGGGAACTAGTGATCAACGGATTATAGATACGGAAGCCATTTCAGCGAAAGCTTCTTCTATTCTTCCAATAACCATTTGGGCTAATTGAGGTTTGTCCTTGAGTCTTTGCGGTACTTCCGATTACTAAGCGTGATGCCAATTAAGTCGGTTAAGGTAGTTATTATTTCTTTCCTAACTTATTTTCACAGGATAAGGTTATGGGGGAAGTAAGTCATGGCATAAATTATCTGATAACCGTATTTTGGTCAATTAGTCAAAGGTGAGGAAACGCAGTGGAGAGGTAAGTTTTCGTAAAATCTAAAGCATGAAATTTCAGTCCTTTACAAATGAACTTACAGAGGTGAGTTGATTCTAAAACATATTTTGGTCGCAAAGCCTGTTAAGATCAAGAAGGAAAAACACAAGGATTTGGAGAGTGTTGCAACTAATGGTTTGAAAGTTAGTTATAACTCAAATTTTACTTATTTAGTGTCTTACATTCTAATAGTGTTTTAAACTGTGTTTTGCTTTAGTCCCTGGCGATAATGGTTGGCCAGGTGTCCTCTGCCAATTTCTGTAATAATTGTTGTCGTGAAAGTTCTTCGTTAAATGCCCATGTCAAAAGCCCTACTACATGATTCATTTATTGGGCACTCATGGGAGTTTATTTTCCATCTAAATTTTAATCTGATCACAACTTACAACCGTCTGTCAGTTATTTCTGATACGCTGCACGGGATCTGCTGTTACTGGTCCTACATTCACAGGAGTCGTTTAGGTGTGCTACACACTTGAACTAACGGGTGGCGCTTCTTAGGCAGCTGATAAATGATTATCAATAATGGTCCGTAATTGAGATAAGGAATTGAAGGCATATTTGTCCTCATGCTTCTGTCCGACTGAAATTCAGAGGTTATCGGAATGAAACTTGGCATTAGCTGAATGTTTGCCGAACTACTGTAGTGAATTTTTGTCTGCAAATGAAGGTAATGTAATGTAAGGTGCTGCCATAGACCTTATGCCCTAACGGCATCATTTTTTTCCATCACAGAGTTAGTCCTTCAACCATGAGGCAGTCTTTGGGAGTGGATGTTGAGATTACATTATTTTGACCACAGGTGTCTTCGTAGCACTTCTTAATCGTGATCAGGTTAATAATAATAATAATAATAATAATAATAATAATAATAATAATAATAATAATAATAACAATAATAATAATAATAATGATAATAACAATAATAATAATAATAATAATAATAAACGGCAATATTCATGATGATGGCTTTATTCCAAACTGCGTTTGATACAGCATTTAATAGATTAACAAATTTACTTTTAAGATAAAATTTTCAAACAAAATGTTTATGGCATCTGAATGTTCATAATGACAGCATCAAAGGTAATGATAGGAAGCAACCGGTAGGTATCGGGGTAGCGTTCGACCTTTAGTGGTGGTTCATTCAGGCAGTAGAATGTACTATTCAAGATAGACATCCAAGGAATAGAAAGATGATGCATTTCTGTGTTTTCAAAAGTCCATTTCCGTCTTATATGACATTTTTCCTTTCGTTTTGTGATTACTTCAAAAAACGACTATCTGAAAACATTTTACCCCCCCCCCCCCCTCAGAAGTACACGACACACCTGGAGGACATATTTGAGAGTGACAGAAGCTGAGTTAGAGGAATTTGGCATAATACATCTGGTAGAAAATTTCATGGGTAGGCCAAAGTCCAAGCAAGCCACACAAGACGGATATCGAGGTTAGGCTTGGGGTGCTAGTCAAAAAAAGCAACTCTACCAATCAAGTTGTGAAGCTTCCGTGACTGAATATATGTTGTGCTAGTCATGGCACTGCCTACCTCAAAGTGACGTTAACCAAAGAAGGATTGAGTTGAAAGGTGACTAGTGGAGACCAGATGAAGACGTGGCATCATTTGTTCAAGTTTGTGGCTGTTTGTCTGGGCCATGTAAGGAGTTGTAGACTGATAGAATGGAGTCATTGAGACAATATAAGTCAATGATTGGAGACTGACTTTGCTTGGAATTGGTCACTCTTTGTCATCTTCGAAGGTTTGGATATTTTCATTAATATTAGTGTACCTATCGTGTTTCGTCTCAAAACTTTTATGCTGTTATATCACTCATGCATCTACTTGTATGCACGCTACCGAAGTGCAGCAATTTGAGCTGTTGCACTTATGTACAGTATGTTACTTTGTCACTTAACTGTTCACGAACTAAATGACTTAGAATTCATATCGATGGATAAGTTACTTATTAAACCTGTTTAAACTTTCTTCATGAACTGCTGGCAGATCTATTCGATTTTTTGTAAATAAATTATCGCGTTTCAACAGAAGATAGCAGCTTGGCAGTTATGGTGATGTAGTTATTAAAATGTGTAATAAGTTTCGTATCGATTGCTTATTCATTTACTGGCACCTACTCCTGCTCAACAGCAACATAGCATGCTGAAGGTTGATTTTGCAGCAAGTTTACTGGTAGAATAGTCTTGACGAATTTAAGTGCTGACAGGTGTAAGGGTGATTAACACCCTGCTGCATTGTCGTGTCCGTGAATGTAGACTTCTCGGTCGGGGTCTGCGTGACAACAAATACCAGTGGTTGGACACTACGTAATACGGTTCATAATCGATCACAATGGTACAGATGATTATATGACCGAAGAATGCGATGGTTTACGAATTAGAAACTGTCGTTGCATTCTAGAGAATCAATAGTTTCTAACGACCAGTGAATGTTTTGGAAAAAAACTAGCAGCTAAAACAAGCTGGTTGTTTCTCATTTACAACTTATAGTGTAACCTTAGCAAAATTTGAATGTTGGTTTAATCAATTTACAGTTGATGTGATATATACTGTTGAACAATTTTCCGTCACCAAATGTGATGGTCATTGCTTATAGACACGTTATCAATACCAGTTTGTGTTATAGTGAATGTGTGTATATCCTCTTTTGCAGGCAAATAAATCAAAGCAAATAAAACGCAAGTCGAAAAAAGAAAAAACTGAGGTATTGCATTTAATATTGTGTTTAAAGCATTAATTTTAGATCCCTCTAAAAGGTAATTATCACAAAGCAATAGGTGACGATGGGCAAGTTTGATTCTTTTCATGCACGTATCATAAATTCCATTTGCGGATATTTGTTTTCAGGATCTCTAGCTAAGAAAGAGCGCCGTTTGTTAAAATTGAAATCGAAGAAGCACTCTGAAGTAGTTATGAAACTGCTACCCATTTGGGAACAATTTCGAAGAAACGATTCCTCAAACGAAAAACGCTACGAGTCCATCCAGGAAGTGTTAAAAGCTTCAAAGGTAATTAATATATATATATATATATATATATATATATATATATATATATATATATCCAGTGTCCTAGTGGTGCAAAGATGGTGTTTCACTAGGTCAGTTTTTCTGCATCTTATTTTTATTGATTTTTCATTGGTTTCCATAATCACTTAGTTATCATCTTTTCAGGGTAAATAGTGGCATATCTCGCGAAAATCTTATTTTTATATGATTGTAAACACAATTTTTAAAAATGTTTTACTTCAGAACATTATACCTGACCTTTGCATGGCGCATGACACGTCTAGGATTTTTGAAGATTGTGTCAAATATGGCACAGAAGCGCAACGATGGCATATTTTTGGTGAAATTCGCTCACAGCTGGTACTTTTGGTTCAGTCACGTTATGCCAAATTCGTTCTATTAAAATTGATAAAATACGGTGATAAACAACACAGATTGGAGATGTTCAAGGTAATAAGTTTTCTTTTTGTTCATATTTTTGATTACTTCTCCATATGATTGGTGTAAATACTGTAATTATCATTTCTCTTCTCACTTTCTTAATCTTATTAAATCGTTCCAGTTGTAGTCTAATGCGATAAAAGATTTTATAGACAATCTTGTGTATTTTTTTTGTTATTGTTGGAGACATTCATCTGGAAAGTAATTCCGGATCAGTTCTAAGCTGTACAATTTTAGAATTTGGAACAATGCATATTTTCTTCATAGTTCGTTTTCAAATATCAAAAGAATCTGTTCATAAGGTAATCTTAGTTTGTAGGAAGCTTATGAAACTGTGGCTCACTGATTCAGGGAGTTGAATTTTAACCAGTGGGTTATGGATTCAATCACTGTCCCACCTAATGAGGTTTGGACAACCAGATAGTATCATTAGCTCTCACACTTAATAGATGAGGTCTATTGCGTACTGTACGAATATGAACAACGCTGCTGAGTGTATTTCGATTTCCATTAGAGCAATAAGACAGATAGATCATGGATCATGCATCTATTGTATGCGGCTGGAGAGTGAATCACATAATAAATATTGTAAAATTAAATTCAAAGGATATACATTTTTTACAACTTATTATAGCACTAAGGTGTAATTTATGTTTATTTTTCACGAAGGCAGTTTGAATTCTATACTGCCACCAGTTTGTCATGTAACGTTTCTGCACTCATCGAATTCTAGCTATTTCGTCATTGTTATTACTTTGTTCTATTACTGTTTCAGGCTTTTCGAGGCAATATTCAACGTCTAACGCGACACAAACACTCGTCGGAAATTATAGACACATTGTATAATGATTATGCTACAGCTTCACAGCGAAATGAAATGATCCAGGAGTTTTATGGGAATAGACACGCTCTCAAACTTGGAGAACACGAATTCTTTAACCTTGAAGACACTTTAAAATTGCATCCAGACAAAAGTACATTGATTCTTCGTAATCTCACTGAAATACTAATCAATTTAGTGACAAAGTGAGTGTCCGCGAGCATTTTTCTCATAGGGACCTTTTTAAAAAAGGGTGGTATGCGGAAGGAAATACTTTTCAATGGGTTTATTATTAAGACTGTACAATCGATAGTTTTTGTTAACTAGTCAGAGTTATGTGAAGTTATGATTTTTTGGTCTAAGTACCTACTCACCTTCCAACAAGTAAATGACAAGTTGGCCCTCTGTATCCTTTTTCAAAGTTTGGGGTGTCAGATAGTATTACTAACCCTCATGTAATAAATATGACTCAGTGTTTAGTACACAAACGTGCATTATGTTGCTTAGCTGCATTTTCAATATTTTAACCTGGAACAAAACTTATTTAAGTTGGTCTTCTTTAAACTGCTGTTCATATATGCTTATCCTAGCCCCAAAAAGTTTCCCGTTGAGGGTGTAAAAGTCGAGTTGATTTACAGGGTATATAAAATCCCAAGGGTTGTATTTGTTTGATAGTAAGCGTATGAAAACCAGGTAAGTTTCATTGCTAGTCAAAGGCATTTCGATTGGACCTTCACTGTTTGACATTTTTTACTACTATTACTGACACCTTATAGCTCTATTCCTTAACGTCAAGACACCCTTCAACTCCGTCGATCCAGATATATCAAAAGAGTTCTGAATAAGCGTTGTGTTTCTGAAGACCCTGCATTCACTCAGCAATTTTGTTATGAGGTGTGGTTGCGAGAAGGAAACGGAAATTAACGTTAAGGAGTCTGGGAGTTGAGTTGATTCAACCCAAATGATATACAGAGTTAAATCAAAAGACTGGTATTCAATTAAGTTCATAGAATCTGGAACTAATAACTTGCATTAGTTACAAAAAACTATAATTAGAAACTACAAAGGCGTTAGACAAGTGATAATTAGTCCATAAGACAAGTAGGAGGCAATCCGAGCACTAGTAGGTTGTGTGAAATGTAACGCATGTACGGTCATAAGAGTATAAATAAGAGCAGCACAGGCGGTAACTATAAAATGTGACTGCTATATGCATTTCTAACGAATGTTAGTACAGATGTAATTACGACCGACAAAAAATAGCACTTTCGGTCATAGGTGTCTGGATTTATCATTTTTGTCTTGATTGTTGACCTATCTACACCAGTAGCTTTTATCGTTGCTAGTTTCTCAGGTTAAAGTACACAAACAGCATAACGCTGCTATGCAGAGATGATGACCATGTTGCAAGAAGTCCGATGTTTGACCTACGTTTCGTAATCTTTGCGTGTAGGGTGTTGCATAACGACTAGACAGTACTGACAACTGTTTTAACAATAATGTAAGAGTTAAAGTTGACAGCTTTACTTGGATACTATGCAGTCTCATGCTTTACCTGTATCCCTAACCAGCTGACGAACAAAAACTCATCTGGCGCCATATTAGTGACGAACTAATGACATGTGACCTCCATTTGTACATTACCAGCCTTATTTAAAATAACTTGTTCAGGTCACTGACCCTCTTTGCGTCATTTACGTTCCCATATATTATTGGTGAATACATTAATCATTTAACTCGTGGTTGACGTAAACTGGGCGTTCTCACTGTGTGTACTAAGAGTAATATGAAGTGTTAAGACTGGCTTCGCACATACCATACAATTCAGAGATAAGGATACTATAGATTTCATGTGTTACTATCTGTAAACACTTGTACTAATGGGGAGAGGATGAGATAGTCTATCAGCTTATGTTATGCTTCGACCACTTCTGTTTTTTAACAGTATCTACTCAAACTTTGTTTTGACATAGTTTCGTTTGAAAACTCCCAAAGAGAAGCAGTTTTTCATGTGTGAAAGTTATCATTTCGTTTTTACGTATTAGTAACTTCTAGAGAGCGATACTTTTGTAAGTCTTTATAGTAGGCGGAAAAATTCGGGATTATTTTGTCGACTCCTATTGAATACTTAGCTGAAAAATCGTGTGATCATACACATAGCACAGGTAACACACATTTGATTAAATGGTCTCTATTTTCTTTATTTCTTTAGATATCTTGGGTTATTCATATCCTAGTTAGATAATTATGGTGTTCAACTTTTCTTTGATACATTTATTTCATATTAATATAAAGCGTAAAGTAGATTGCATAACTGGATGATGCCAGGAGTAGAGAAGATGTCTATATGTTATCGAGCACATGGATGTTTGGTTCAACTTTTTGCATGACGTACCGTTTTTCACTATAACCTCATAGAGAGTTGTCACATTGATTTAGGGATCCGATATTGAGTCCGAATTATACTGCTACTATCAGGGTTCGACCAGTTAGGCGCTTTTACTAAAATTCCTATAACATGCTTGATTCGCAGAAGATACTACTACTGCTACTACTACCACTACTACTACTGAACAACTTGAATAATTAAAAGCCACTCAGGCTGATCTGTGATATTTCTCCAACCAGCCAACCAGCTCAGAGTGATCTAAACACCGAACAGCCGTTTCGCTCGTTTGAGACTGAGCTCATCAACGGTGCACCCAGACAAATTCAGCTCATGAAAACGGATTAGGTGAGATCATGTGAATCTGGCTAGCTGACTTTCATGAACCAGTGCACCTAAAATAGGATGGTCAATTTGAAAATGATTCATAAATTGCACTGTCCATCGGAAACCTTGTTGATGCCACAGTTAGGCAACTGTGAGAAATGTCAACGTAGACCGTGGAATTTGTAAATCATTTGCAAGTTGATCATCTTAAGCTTGACTCAGTTAACTAAACAAGAGTACATACAGTTGTTAGGTTCCCTTTTTCTTGTTTTAAAAAAAATTAATAGTGTTTTTCGCTGAATGTGTAATTGTATGTCGCTTAGTTCCCTCTATTTCGTCTTCTTACATTTCACAGGGGTCTCAATAAATTCAGTATTGTTCAACATCTATTACTAGAGTATCTGAATAGTGTATTAACTTTGAACAATACTTCACTTTCTGTTACTGTGAAACCTTCCGGTGTTGATACATCCCAGCCTAGTGAAGCTGTTGTACCGATTATGATCGATGAACCAGTTGATTGTAAAGAAACAATTCCTAAATCATTTTATGATAATTTTTCAACTTTACTTGAAACTCTAATTGATGGTCAGTTGGTGCCTATGTTGCATACTCGTGAAGGTGTTCGAACTGCTTTAAGAATACTCTGGATGTGTAGTCCACAAAGACGTAAAATTTTGATTAAAGGTTTGAAGACGTGTATACGAAATATTGCATTTAACGAACATGGACATCTCTTCATTATTGGACTAATTGATGCAGTTGATGATATAATACTATTACAGAAAACAGTATTTAAAGTAAGTTAACTTTGTTTATATATTCACACAGCATTTGTAAAATTGCTGAGTTGTGGAGCTTTTTCCTATTGAGTTATTCATTTGACTTTCATCTGATGGTCACGGATATTGAACTCCCCTTCACATTCCTAGATTTAAACCTCGCTAAAGCAGTATCACTGACTGTAACGCCAGTAGGTGCGGTTGATTGTTATTTCAGTTTCTGTGGTCTGGCATGCCAGCTTCGTCTAGTGACGTTTGTTCGATGTGATGACGGGTGTGGACATTAAAAACTCTAGTGTTTAGTTTGGGGTACTGCTTGTAAGGACAAGGGAGGCTATTTCATGAACCCAAGTCGTTATCATGATCAGCTAAGGTACACAAAGTTAAGAATGATGTAGAACTATTAAAGGAGAAATGTAAAAAGTTTAAAAGTTAACTAAGGAAGAGAGTTAATGGTGTTTGTTAAGGAATTGATTGTTGACGAAGATGTAAAGAGCATTTTGATGCCTTGTAGCTGCTAGTTTCATGGAACGTTTCTTCTTGAAGTGTCTGAAAAAGAAAGTGGATTAGTAAGCCTGATCTAATTGACCTAAATGCATTGATTGGTGAGTTGAGAAAAAAACAAGTCTATACACGAAAGCATTTTGTGTACAATCCTTTGAGATGACTTGAAAATGTGAATGGTACAAAGGACATTTTTTCATAGACCCATCAACTGAGTGTCGGTATCAGAAAGTATTTTTCAGTAACAGTTCCCTAACTCTAAGTATTCTAAGAGATCTTTTCATATAAGTGCTTCTTTAATATAATCCCATCTGAATAAATTTCGGATAGTAGTGATGACGAAAGTTGCTACGATTATCAGTTTGCAATATGTACTGCTGCAGTATTCAGCTATTTGATAGAGATACGAAGTGTTGACATGTTTAATGATACTCGAAATTCTCACAAATTGGATTCTCCTGCTTTTCTATGTGGTGTGGAGTATAGCAGTAATCACAATGGAATGCTGATCACATAAGCTTTTGTTAGATGGGAAAGTACAGTTAGTCTTTTGCTACACGATCTTAAAATCCTTTAAGTCGTTGATTGGGAATGACTGTGATGGAAGCTAGTAGTGATCACTAATAGGTTGTAACTTGCGAAAAAGTGCAAGATCTCTGATCGTTTGACCTGTATGCTGTCCTATTTGTCAAGTATCGGCTGGGGTCATATTAAGTTGAATAATCAAATCAGTAGAACTGAATTTGTATTCAGAATGCTAATTGGATGAAGGGAGTGGGAAAGAAGTTCTAGACCTAGGTTTCTTACTTGCTAGTATCTACAACCTTGGTGGAGCTGATGTCCCGTCTGAGATTCTAACCCACATCACCCAATGCTGTTATCGGAGATGTTATCACTGAGTTATTCACGTCGCGATTGGATCTCAGGCGGAAAACCAGTTCTGTGCAGGTTTCAAATACGCCTTGCTGACGAATGCTGGAAAGCACGAAACCTGGGTCCATGGCTTCATACCTATTTTCCTTCCTCAACCTAACACCCATCATAGTGCACCGCGATGTTGAGTCAGCTAGCCTGGTGGCTACCTACGCAAAATGATCGATACGAATCGGTCAGCACTGCGGACTAAAACAACACGAAGTTGGTTACCCTCCAGTGATCAATCAGTTGTTTTCAGAACCATAAAATCAACAACTACGTTCATGTTCATGCACTTGACAGTGAGCGTTGATAATATAACTTGGCCTCCAAAACGTCAGTAAATTGAGCTGGATATAAACCTAGGACATGTTGCTTGGAAATTAAATAGTTTAACCAAAGAGCCGTACTTCCATGAAGGATTTGTCTTTTCCGAGTTTACGATCAGATAGGAATCAGGTTATAAAGTGTATAGTGTAAAGAAGTCATCGGTGAAGTTGACTGTTATACTGATGACAAATCCACTCTGTCACTCTTTCCAAGGTCTAGACATATTTTCTAAATGTGATTTATTATTATTATTATTTGTCCCTTGGGTTCCTAATGGAACATAGGGCTTCAGTAGCATGTCTCCAATGCTCTCTGTTCTCTGAAATCTTTTGAACCTGGCTCCACGACAGCCCATAAGCTCTCATTTCCTCCTCGTACGATCTCCTCCATGTCACTGTCACCTCGGACGCCCAACTCGTCGCTTCCCATCCGGCTTCCACTCGAGTGCCTTGCCTGACGCGTGATGTCCCCAGTCGGCCTTCTCAGTGTATGCCCAATCCATCTACACTTCCTTCTGCATATTTGTTGAGCAATAGGTTGTTGGTTGGTTCGTTGCCAGAGTGAGTTCCTTGTTGTTTATCCCTTCTGGCCATCTGATCTTCAGTAATGAGCTTAGGCAGTTGTTGATGAATGTTTGTAGTTTATTGGAAATCCCTTGCGTAACGCGCAGAGTCTGTGAACCACACTGGAGCACTGACTTGACGTTGGTGTTGAAAATCTGGATCTTGTTCCACATGCTGAGTGCAGATCTCCACAATGGTTTCAGGTTAACGAACGCCTGTCTTGCTTTCCTGATCCTGGCTGACTTTGACGTCCTCGTCTGTGCCGCCTGTAGTTGAAACAGTGCTGCCTAGATAGGTGAGAGAGGCTACTTCCTTTGAGTTTCTCCCGTTGGTGCTGATTGGAGCTTGTTGTTGTTGTTGGTGGTGGTTGGGTTTCTTCATCACCTCTACCTATATCTTCTCTACATTCACTTGAAGTCCCGTCTTCGTTGCCCTGTCACTTCTGTCAACTTGTTAGTTTTCTCCTGTAGATCTTCAAGTTTGTGTGATATCAGACGCAAGTCATTGGCGAAATCCAAGTCTTCTAGGTTCTTTTCCCCGGTCCAGCCAGCGTATCCCCTCTTCTCGCTCCTCACTGTTTGCTGCATGATCCAGTCCACCACTATCAGGAATATCATGGGGGATAGTAAGCAACCTTGTTTCACTCCTGTTTTCACTTCAAGTGCAAAGGCATCACTGAGCTTCCCATTGTGAATCACTTGGTATGTGGCGTCTTCATATGGTTGTTGAATGAGATTGATAAAGGTTTGTGGCACTAAAACCGTAGTGTTGAAGCAGTTTCCAAATTACTTGTCGGTGGACGCTGTCAAAGGCCTTTTCAAAGTCGATGAAGTTGAGGTCAGGTTGAGTTGACTGCCATTCTATAGTCTGTTCTATGATGATGCGTAGTGTAGCGTTGACATTTGGTCCACACATGATTTGTACTTCCTGAAGCCAGCCAGCCAGCTAGCCTGTTCCGGTCGTAGTTTTGAATCCAGTGCATCCTTTAGTCTCTTCTCTCCAGGATGATGTGGCTTAATATTTTGCTTGCTTTGGGTGGACGGGAGCGTGTTTCCGCGTCAGTTCTTGCAAACACTTAGGTCTCCCTTCTTCGAGAGTTTGACAAGGTAACCCTTCTTCCAATCGACCAGCAGGCATCTTCCCTTCCTTCTGGACCTTCTCCAATAGTGATATGAGCATATCCGCTGTTTTCTCTGCATCTGTTTTCAGTGCTTCTGGTAGGATTCCACTTGGTCCAGCTGCTTTCCCACATTTCAGTAGCTTTATGGCGCTCAGAACTTTGACTTTTGTTGGAGGATTTATGTTTACTTGTAGTTCTGTGACTAGGCTGCAGATGGTATTTCTGGACGAAGTACAGGTGGTGGTGGTGTTGGTCGATTCAAGAGCTTTATGAAGTGGTCAGCCCATTGTTTCCTTTGTTTCTCTTCTTTCGTAATTAAATTTCCTTCATCATCTTTCATTGGTTTCATGTGCGCTGATCTCTTCCCTCCCAGATAGTAACCTGATTATTTGATACAATGTTGTCAGGTCTCTGATTCTCTTACATGCAGCCTGTTCTGTTCTGCTTCACTTGCCAGTGTGTTGTGGAAGTGTCTTTTAGCCTTGCGTGCACTCTTCTCCACTTCTCTATCCAGTGTAGTGGTTTATACATTGTACTCAGTTGCTCTTCTTGTTGTGCATCCCTGCCTGCACTGGTTTATCTTCTGCTTCACCATCCTCCTCTCCCCACTCTATCACCTCCAATGTGTCCATCGAGATCCATTCCTTCTCCTGACTTCTTTCTTCTTCCTTCCTAATACGGTTATGTAGGTGTCTTTCCACATCTCTTTCAAAGACTTCCAGTGTTCTTCAACACAGGTTTCTTCAGGGATGTTCCTCGATATCTCCCATTTTGTCTTGATGGATGGCAGACGTGAAGATATCCCTTGTAGTTTCATCCTTCAGTTTGTGTTCTGGTTGTTGAACTTGAACTGTGGTCTATCACCAGCTTCCTTGAAGACTTCAAACTTGATTTTGAAGTTAGGTTCCTTGCCCTAAATAGTGGTCTGAACTTACATCTGCTCCTCTTCTTGATCTTATGTCAAGTAGGCTGCGTTTCCACTTTCTTGAGATTGAGATAAAGTCGATCTGATTTTTAGTGTGTCCATCTGGTGAAATTCATGTCGCTGCCTTGTGAATATCCTTGTGCTTGAACACACTGCCTGACTCCAATCACCAAATGGTTGAATGCACAGAATTCTGCAAACAGTTCTCCATTCTCATTCATCACCTCATCGAGTGCTTCTCGGCCCATGGTTAGTTCTCTTCCTGTGTTGTCCTCTCCCAGTTTGGCATTCATGTCGCCCCACCCATTAGAATTTTGATGTCGCCAACTGGAGTGGGGTCTTGTCCAGTGCTGATTGCAGTTGTCTGTAGAATTCCTCCTTCTTCTCCTGCTCTGCATTATTTGTAGGTGGATAGCGTAGCATTGTATGATTGTGACCTTCCTTCCTTTTGAGTTGAACCTTGCTGTCATGATCCTGGAGGAGATAGATTCGCACTGCATGAGAGCTTTCGATGCTGTTGGGGACATCATGATAGCCAGTCGGAAACTCAGTGTGCTGTCCTCGTGGTTGTCGACTGGGTGATGAAATCGGAGTAGATTATTAATTCTGCAGTTGACAGTTTCAAAAGTCCACTTCCATTCCATCTGCTTTCGAAAATTCCGAACACTTCACTGCGATACCTCGTTTGTAATCTGGGTAGCCTTGTCAGCTAGGTTAAAACATGGTATGGACATTCCATGTCCCCACTTTTACTTTCGCTTTCATCGAGAGAAGACACATCAGCCAATTGGCTTCCCGAAGGGTTTCACCAACTGGCGTCCTTTCGCCTCTCCGATTCCAGGGAGGAATAAATTTGTTTTTATTTTTTATATTTTGTTTGTGCTTTGAAGTTTGTTTAGCGGTAAGATTTGTTTTACGGGGTAGTATTGCTTAGCCGTATGCCCAACCTTCCCTCTTTACTGGAGCTTATGACCGGCTAGTAACTAGCAAACTAGTTAACCAGGCGAGGTTGTTCAGAGGATGCAATGGCACCTAAATCATTATATTTAGTTTCAAATATTCCTCGCCATCTCAAAGCATCATGTATTCATTTACAGTAGTCATTCGAACGATGTTGATATTTCTCTGCTAACTTGCATTCATCGGTAATACTGTTTATATGCTCATAGCACATGTGTATGGGTATTAGCGGTAGTTCTTCTCGCTGTCGCTTCGTCATCTTATAGCCTCTTTCCATTTATACATATATATTTCTATAACTGCATTATTGTTTTCTGGTATATTTCGATTGTAGGAGATATTAGACGAGTTGGAGTTGTTTGTTATGCATCCTAATGCCCGTAAAGTACTACTCTACATGCTGTCTCCACGTGATCGTCGTCATTTCTGTCCACAGTTAATTAATAGTGTATTAGCACCGGGAGATACAAATGTGTTTACAAAAAAGCTGCTTGGTGTTCGTGCTTTAGAGATGCGTGCCTGTCAGTCGTTGGTGTTGCCTGGTCTACTTAATTTAGCCAAAGAGAAATTAATGGAATTGTTTATCGGTGATTCAACTAATGAAGCTGCTCTATTGGCGACAAAAGATTTGGGTCGTGTTATTCTTCTTAGTGAAATTCTTGATAAAAGGTATTTTTATACTGTATAAGATGTGTTATGAATTTTTTTTCTCCATTAAAATGCGGTTATTTGATAATTAGGCTTTCAATTTCTTTTTTTAATTAGTGATGTTTTCATAATCTCAATATCGACGGTTGTATTTTTTCGGATTACATCAGGGAAATTACTGGTGTCTCTTATTTACTGTCCCTTAGGTTCCCAGTGGAACCCAGGGCTTCAGTAGCACGTCGCCATTCCACTCTCTTCAACCTGGCTCCACGATTGCCCAAAAGCTCTCATTTCTTTCTCACATAATCTCCATATCATCCTCACCTCGGACACCCAACTCGTCGTTTCTCATCTGTGTTCCACTCGAGTGCCTTGTGCGTGATATCCTGACACGATAGTAGTATCGTTACCAACTCGATAAAAACCATTTAAACTGCCCACCTTTTTTAAAACCTGTCAAAATCTATAGAAATAATGCTTTAAATGAAGGACTGTTGGTAAATCCATTCTGTAATACTTAAGTCCCAGTAAAACTTGGGCACTGTGGTAGATTAAAAGTAAAAAATACGAAGCAATTAAAGGGTTTTGATCATAGATGTCTTCATAACATTGCTCACATTTAGTGGAATCACTGTGTGAATAATGTTGAGGTCAGGCGAAGAGTCTTAGGCAAAACAGGCAAGTCGATTTTGATGAGATTTTGAATCTTCATCGACTGAGATAGTCTGGACATGGGTTACACTTGCCGACCAATCGCTTACATCAACGAGGAATAGTAGTAGAAGTTGGATTAGGTTGGAAGAAGGTTCAGCGTGGCTAAACCAAGACGTGGCACTAGTTGATGAAGTCTCTGACTGTTAGTCTGAGGCATATGGGTAGACGTACACTACCTGTTTGGGGTCCCTAAGACAATAGGAATCAGTGGTTGATAACTCTTGGTGATATAGCTGGAAATCGGTCGCAGTGACACAGATTTATTCACTTTTTCAAGTCTTCTAAAACTTGAGTATTCGCACTAACCCTTATCTTCAGATTGTTTATTCTCTCACACAACTTTGTCTACTTTGATATTACTCCTTTTTCTATCCATCTGTTCTTTGTATACTACTGTGAATTGTGGCAACATGAGCCGATCCACGTATATGTGATATTCTACGTTGATTTTTCCTGTCTGTCTGTCTATGGACACTGATTATCACCTGGTTAAATGCAGTTTGACCTTTGTGGTATAAGATGACATCATGTGCATACTACTGAAGGTCCCGGTTTTTTCTTTTGGTATCAGATTTGTACCATCATCTTACATTTCCCTCAGAGCTATCTTGAAAATGTTATCAATGGTAAAGTTAATGACAAACAGGGAAATCTAGCAACTTCTGAGTAACTCCTTTTACTGTTCTGGAACAATGGAGAGATGTATTTGTATACCGTCACTCTGTGAAGATATATCTTTAATCTGTTATAAAGCATAGTTGATTGGAATGATGCTGACGATTCACTATATTCCTGATATTCCTGTTCTCAGCGCAGGTGTATTCCAGATTCAGTAGACAAGCAGCCTATTTGTATGAAGCAAGAACAATGAAACTTACGGGATAAAATAAGCTCATTTCATTTTACCGACCTTTCATCAGTTGCAAACAGCCTACAATAGAAATGAAATATTAGTAGCCATAATAACGCGTAACATACTTCAAATATAAAGAGGTGAATGAAAATTCGGTATCCAGAATTAACTATTAGATAGTGAGTGAGTCAAGGAAATACTGGATTAATAATCACATATCATCATCGAAATCAATGGCAGTTTATATCTCATGAGATAGAAAATTCTGGAATTGTGGAAAGGGTGGAACAACAAATAAACAGGAGTGTAAACTTAGGGGGCTGTTAAAGAGTTAGTAGGCTACGTAATTATATGGAAGAAAACTGAAAAATCTTTAGGCTGAGTAATTAACAGTCACTAAATAACTCATAAAGAGATGATGCGATCAAAAAAGGAGAAGTATACGTATAAGTATGCAATATATACAGTTGCTAAGGTAAAGAAAGGTTAATTACAGTCTCTTTCTGAGTATACAGGTCAGGTTAAACATGTTTGAAGGCAACAGCTTCCTTTGTTTGATGATTATCCTGAAGGCTTGAGAAATATCTGTTTATTTTCTTGTCTTCATCAGGTGCCTGGCGGTTTCGCTGTTAAAACCTTGCCACCTTCCAGACGCAGATTGTGTTACTGAGCATACTGCATTGTAAACTGAGATCGGTTTTACAGCAGGGAAGCTCCTCAGTGCGGCTTTTATTCGTCTGTGTATTCTTTCAAATATCTCATCACCCTTGAAAATGCTAAACGAAGAAAAATGGGTTTCCTGTAGACAGTTTGGTATTTGGGTCTCAAATTGTTTTCTATGCTTTTTCGAATATTCGTTCTCTGTAGGTATTCTCAACGATAACGAATTATTCAGATTATGACTTGGTTACCACTTTTTGGGAAGCTGTCAGAAATGTAGAACTATGAGAAACTTTCGTGACCTAGGTAGTGAGACCTCTTTGAAGTTAAAAATGACACTTCAAAGGGATTAATTCTGGTCAAGACAAAGTCACAGGTAATACAGTCAACAGATTTTTAGATATCTGAATACAATTTAAGACTAGAGAGGGTGCTTCACGTTTGTAGGTTCCACTTGACTCTGATAACTCAGAGCATGGTTTTAACTATACAAATATGTCTGTAACAACATAGTAATATACTTATTACCTGTTCTTTCTTGCAGTGCACCTCATAATTTAGATGCAGATATTGTAATTCCGTTGTACAAGAGAACAAATGATAGTACACGGATTCTATTTGGAAATTCCACAGTCCTCTCATCTGATTTGTCAGCATATAAAGTATCCCGAGAATTAGTCTTGGAAGAGCTGATCACCTGTCTACTAGTTCCTGAATTCAATCCATCAGGTGATGATGATGATAGAGCAGTTCAGTCTAAGCCGTTGGTTAGTCGAGATGATTTACGTTTGTCTCGACATAAAATGGCTGTATCATTGGTTGAAGGATATTTGGCCAAGTTGAACAATCCGGTTAGTTTTAACGTGATTTAAGCATATTCATACCTAGAAAAGTCTGATTTACTTGCTCATATATCTAGTAGAACTCTTTCCCTGTATTATTTCTTTTTTGATGATAGCGAAATTAATCAAAACCCATTCAGCAACCTTTGTTGGTGGTATGTGTGTATGTATTCAAACTGGTGATCCATTGGTTGAAAGTCAACTCTGTAAGCCAGTAGTGAACCTCAACTCCACACTGTATCAGTATGTATTCCACTATCATTATGAATATTTTATCGAAAAGTTCTTAATTCAATCTTCATTTGCAAAGAAAGTTATCTTTCAAAAATGGTATATCGTTAAAGTAATAGTTTGCAGTGAATAGTGTGACCAAAATTTTAGATATTAAAAGTTGTTTATAGTGTCTTGGTGAGACAGTGAAATCTTAAACGAACCCCTTTATCACACTGAGATTTTCATTGTCATTCAGAGATTTATCATTGTTGTTTTAAAAGCAATATTTTGGGGTCCTATAGTAGTGATCGGTTAGTTCATAACACTGAGAAGCTGATTGAAATGAAGATATTTCGGTTAATTTTCACCAAAATGCCTTTCTATCAAGGATTCAAGAAGAAACTCTTTGGGAGTGGCTGTTTAACTTAGTATGCTATGGGACGATAGAGAAGGTATTATATAGTGTACATTTTTTAGATAGTCTGTGGGAGTTGGGGAATAACAATAATTGTGATATATATATCTCAAACAGTTTAAAATATTTAGGTAACCGCTTCATTATAAATGCTGTCAAACAGTTCAATAAAGCTCAGTTGCACCAATAATGAACACTGTCTCAACTATAGGCTACTCTTATCACACCTAGTCAGTTAGCGATCATTGTCTGTAAGTATGATACATACTTCTCACTATCAAAATCCAAAGTGGTCTTACAAGAGAAGTAGAGTGGCATATGCCAATCTATTTCACTTTTCTCGATGTCATGACATTCACCTTGCTGTAAAACTTTAGTGTGAGCAGCTCTGCTGTGTAGGTGTGTAATCTGACCATTCCATGCTTAGGGTGTTCAATGACTCTGCGTGTTCAATCATTGTTGTGTCCGTTGGATTGTTGATATCCTGTGAAAATATAATGCAAGTAATTTTGAGGTGAGGCGCTGTTTTTTTTTTTGGAAGAGGAGAGGTAAGTCAGTTGGTGCCGTTGTGAACATTGACTGAGATAGCTGGGACAAGGCTGGAAAAAGGCTCGGGCAGACAGACTAAAACGTAGCATCAATGCATGAAGTCCTAGACTGTTGATTTGAACCATGTAGGCCGATGCAAACTGGTCGGTTGGGGTTGGCAGGACAACAGAAGCCAGTGGTTGGAGACTCTAGGTGTTGATATGACTGAGAACCGATGTCAGTGGTGCAGATGTATCCGCACATTATCCTCATCTTAACGTTATACTTAACCTCTTCATTTTCTCATTCTTCCTTCATCTCTTTTACTAGTTCCTACTTCATTTGACGGATTTTCCTTTTTTTCTTCACCTTTCATTCCATTCCATTGTTACTTGGTGTGGTGATATGTGGTGTGCCAGCTTGAATCGTTACACAGTAGTGCCTGGTCCTATGTTGACTTTGATGATGAGGCGGTTTGTATTTAGGTGTGATTGGAAATCATCATCCAATGAGTTTCACTAACCTTCACTTTCAAATTCCTTTCCCTCCCATACACTTATGTCTACTGTGATGTCGCTCTTTTTCTATCCACCTGTATTTGTTATGTGTATCATCTCAGTGGTTCCTACACCACTTACTGTTTGCTTGCCGTTGGATTAGTTTAAAAGAGGTGAACGAGTGATCAGTGTGTGACGTAGTGCCTTGGTTGAAGTTCTCTTTGTCAGACTAGACAAAGTCATTGAACCAATGACACTTCCTGATTCTATCAACTAATAAAAAACACATGAAGGTTAGAGTTTATGTCAGCAAGATAACCAATCAAATTACGTATTGACATATTGATAACAAGATTGTAGCAGAAACAATCAGACCACCACCAAGATCATTAGGATAAGATATTAATCTACTTGTGTGGCTGATTTCCTTCTGAAGGTTGCTCCGATATTGTCTAGAATGACAATGAAAGCTTAATGATTAAACCATTAAGCTTAGAGGAGAGAACACCACCAAAATCGTCCTCATCAGCTACAAATATTCTTCATCATTCTCAAAATGACATGAACTTGTATTCATTCCCTGGATAATGCTGAAAACTATTTCATCTATTCAACTGTAAATATGCATCTATAAAACTGCACGCAAACTAAGATTTGTATACCATAAGGTTTCCTTTTTACACCTATATTTCAAAATGTTTATTGTTCGATTAGATTGCCCAAATCCACATAAGAAATTCTAAAATCCCTAAAGCTTTTCACAACCAATCATATTGGTTCAACTTCTAGAGGAAAGTCACGTGAGCCTACGTGTTAGTGTTGGATTGGTTGAAAAGGCAAAATCAATAGGATATACCCTTTAAGGACGGGATGCTTTTGCATAGTACACAATTGTTCTCTTCCATTGACAAATGATTCTTTCTATGTTTCCTTTCAGGATATAAAGTCATTCACTGGTGGAAATGATTCTGAGGAAGACTCTGAAGAAGATGAAAAGCATATGTCAGTCGATGAAATTTTCACAGATCATAAGAGTAATTTGAAGCCATTCATTGAAAGACCTGAAGGAAATATTCTTATTTGTCGCCTGTTGCAAGGGGAAAAGAAACACAAAGTTTGTAAGTTTCATTTGTATTCATCTTGATTAATCGATTTGGTGGATTATTGATGATCTTGACGGTTTTCTGGCAATGGAGATGCGTTTCATTCATTTGCACGCTTAACCTTCAAAGCATAGGTTCAGCGCTCGAACCCCGTTTCGATCACTTCAGTCTGAACAACAGTGTATTATCACTTTTCATGACACAATAAGTAACGTTCACAGTCTAGTCTAGTACATAATGTTTTACTAGAAAGAGTTGTACCACATTATTAGTACTATGGTAGAGTACAACATCATGTTAGATTTATTTGTAAGATATTTCATATATTTGAACAGTATATTGTCTTATTTTTGAGGATAACACCTTTGATATGAATACAAACAATACGTTTTACTTCAAGTTGTTATTCATCGTAGACTGATATCAGTTGGAGGAATAAAGGAAACTTGGGAGCACTGGACAGCCGTTTCGTCCTAGTATGGTGAGCTAACAGAAGTTGGAAATATGGGCCATTGGATTCTGGCCCAATCACTTAATGGTAACATGCTGGCCACGGAACCTGAAGATCGTGGCTTCGATCCCTGGCTGGGTCGTGGGTGCGCACTGTTGAGGAGTCCTGTGCTAGGACGAAACAGCTGTCCAGTGCTCCTAGGTTTCCTTTGTTCCTCCAACTGGTGTCAGTCTACGATAAATAACAACTTGAAATATTTCCAAATCCTCACAACTCCCTCGAAATAAATTGTACATTCATTAATGACTTGCTTCAAAATGAGATTTCTAAAAGTTCTGATAAGAAGTTGTGACTAGTTATCGCATGAAGCGATTAAAGACTTTTGGTCACAGATGTTTTCGTAGTATTTCTCGAATTCGATGGAATCAGTGTGAGCAATGTAGATATCAGACGAAGGGTGCTAGGAAGCAAGATAGGTAAGTCAATTGGTAAGATTGGTAACCCTAATAGACTGAGATGGCTTGAACATGTACTGCGCATGGCGATCCTCCGCCTACCTCGACGTATCATAGTTGGGAAAGATAGATTAGATTGGAAGAGAGTTCAGTGTAGTCAGATCAAGATATGGCATCAGTCGATAAAGTCCCTAACTGTTGGTCTAAGTCGTGTGGGGCGATGTGCACTGCCTGTTTGTAGTCCTCAAGACGATGGGAATCAATGGTCGAAACCTCTTGGTGAGATGGCTGAAAATCGGTTGCAGTAGCGCGGATCTATTCACTCCTTGACATCTTCTAAAGCTTGAATATTCTACGTTGATTTTGTCAGTCAGTCTGTCACAAGTAGAAAAACGTATACCATTACTCTCAGATGCAGTGGGTTGATGACAATATTCTTGCTGCGGGACCTGTAGGTCCTAGGTTGAATCCCTGGTGGGGTCATGGGTGCGCACCGCTGAGGCTACTGGGACAAAACAGCTGTCCAACACACTCAGGTTTTTTATGGTTCTTTAATTGATGTCAATTCGTAGTGAATACCAACTTGAAATTATACATTGGTCGGTCATTATAGAGTAACCATTTCCATGTCTAGTTTCAAGTGCTTGACCAAATTCTATTGATCAGTCTTTAATGTTGTCACTGGAGGTTGCAGAGGTATCCTTTGCTCGTGAATGTCGTCAAGCGGGAAACATAGGTGCAGGGCTTTCTACCGTTTGACTTCAACCCTCTGAAAACAGCAGCAATGAATCGTGTTCGAAATATCTGATAAGAAAAGATATCGTTTCACACAGTGAAATTTGTGAATGAGTTGTAGAAATAAATAACTTGTGTGTGTTCAGCCCCAATATAAGTTATCCTATATTTTCCTGTAATTCTGTGCTCAAGGAAATGTGAGGCAAGAAAAGCCAAAAAGTTAATTTTTTTATGCGGGGGGAAGGAAATTTGACGTTCAGGTTGTACAGCTGTTTCAAGTTACGTAGTGAAGAAGATTATCTATCAACAGTGTTACTCAGGTACAATATATATTCTGAGTGTTTCTTCCCAGAAAACCGAAACTAAGCTCCTAAGTTCGAGACCATGACAGTGCATTAAATGAATTATACTTCCCCACCGATAGCTGCTACCTTGACGTTGTGGTCAGGCTTGCATATCACAATGACCCAACGAGCTATGCTGGTGGAACACTTGTCCCCTCGGGGTCCTACCATACCAGAAAGGTCTGTTAGATAGTGGTTAGACGAAAAGCAGTTACCGTTGTAGTGTAAATTACTACACTGTGATGCGAGAGAGGGGGGGGGTGAGGGCGAAGTCGTATTACTGCTAGCTGGATGGGATGTGACAGCAGTAAGGTGTTTCCCTTGGATGACCAGCAGTGCTACCTTGATGCTACCTTCTCAGTGGAAGAGGGTAGGGGTTAGAAAACGTCGGCCCCAAAAATGATCCCAACGTTTCGCACGAAAGTCTAGTTCAAGATTCCTCGAGGAATATATGATTGTTGAATTGGAAACCTAAGATCGTGGTGTGTTTGTGGATTCATTACCATCAAAGAACACTTTACAGGTCTATCACCTGCAAAATTGTGTTAAAAGAAAATGATGGTGGAAAATGTAAATAACGTGGGATCCATAGGATTTGGTAACATGTTTGCGACAAACAAGTGTTCAGCGGAAAGTGGAACGTTATGAAAATAACTGAAAGGTGGAATGGACAAAATACCACCTTAGTAGAATGTTAAAATGAAAAAAAATCTTTTTAATGGAACTGGACGGATGAAGAATGATAAAAGCATGTTCGCCATACTACTCATTAATGTTAAGTAGTATAAAGTTTAAAGCAAAAATGAATTGAGTTAACTGTATATCAGAAAATTGAGGCGGAAGAAAAGAATTAGCAGTGAGCTTGGAGTATTCGGAGCTTCACTAAAGAAACTCTACGTTTCTTCTGCAGCTTGTCTAGAAATTGAGCTATGAAAACCTTCCCACTGAATTTATTACATAGAATCGCTTCCTTTCAACGTTTGAAAATCATTCAAATTTGTTTTTCAAATCGTGTTGTATCCTCTCGCGCGTTTTAGTAGTATTTTGAACTAGCCGTTTTGCATATTAACAATAAAGTGAAGAAACGATTTTGTTGGCGATGAGCTTTTGAGTTCACAGAAGTACATCATGCAACTATTCATGAGACGAAATCTGCAGACAGACGGCATGTAAGTAGGGATTACCTGTCTAACCCATCCTAACTGACTGCTTATGGCAAGCCTGGAAGATATGACCTCATCGAAAATGAGCTCAATTTCTACGAAAGTTGAATAGATGTCACCTTTATTATTTGTGACGAGAATGGAAATCTTGAAGGCCTACTTCAAACCTTCAATAGTGCTCATCCCTTTATGGAATTCACTGTAGAAGAAGAGTCGAACATGAAATTCTACTTCCTTGACGTTCAACTATAAAGAAAAGATGACAGTTCAGTCCAGAGATCCGTTTACGAAAACCCCACTTTGGGCGGTCAGTTTATTAATTTTCAAAGTTGTGTGCGCTTAATCAGGAAGAGGAATCTTATTGATTCACGCTCCTCAAGAATTTGAAGAATATGCACGGAGGACACCACCCATGATGAACTAGAAAACTTGTGAGAAATGCTGATGAAAAACAAATACCCGCTGAAATTTATAAATGAGAATCTAAAGCCTAAAAATGCCATAGAATGCGTGCATACTGCTCCGAATAAGATTTTACAGTTAAACGTCAAATTCAAAGGAGATACTTTAACGGATATACTTAGAGAGAGACTGTCAGGGTCCATAAACAGAACATTTTTTGCCTCCACTCTTAGAACCACATTCCTCTGTCAGAAACTCATTCGCCAGTACGCAAAGGCCAGCTGGAGGATTGAACCACGTCAATGTGTGTATATCAGTTTACGTGTTCCTGTGAAACCAAGTACATCGACCGTACCATGCGCCAGCTTATACAACACATTCGTGAACACTATCCCACTTGCGTGACAAGGGAAGAACGGAAGTGTATCCTTAGCTCTGTAACAGAAGATTTAGTAAACTCAAGACATTTGGCTTGTTTTGATAAGTCTTTCAAAATTCTGTACTACGGGCGACCAAGATACTCGATAGAAGTGAGGTTAAGACATTTGATCATACTTTTCTATTCATTCCCCATTTTTAACTAGAATATAACGTAACAGCAGCTAGTCGTTACTTGTCATTGCCGTGTAGTGCTGTCAGTTATTGACATTACTACAGGTGTGGCTCAATGATTTAAGGAGATGATTTTCCACTAATAGATCATGGGTTTGAACCTCACCCCACCTAACAAAGTTTGACAACTGGGTAGTTTCACTAGCCCTCACACAGTATATACATATACACTCTGACAAACGTATTATCCTAAATAAAGTTATTATTATTCGAATTTTGGCGCAAAAATTAATTCTAACGCAGCTTATTTTTATTCATCTCTTTACATATTTTTTTGTTTTGTAAAAAAAAATTAGTCACTTTCGGTCAACTCATTGTGAAAAATGTACCAATGGAAAATTTTCAATCTTGGATAAAATGTAATCGTACATGCTTCATCCTTGTGAAGTAAGTTAGCTTAACACTTTTGGTATCATGTTTTTGTTGTTTATTAACGATTAGTTATTTCTTTTCTAACTGAAGTTTGTAGATATAAATTATGCTTTTTGTATATTCCTTCGAAATTCATCTACATTATTTTTTATATGTTTGGTTTATGTAACGATAAAATAAGTGGTAAAGCATATCGTTTTTGATAAGCAAGATAGTATGATTAGGCATCGGATAAAAGATGTCACTTGTTGTATACTACATGAGTTTGCGAGTGATTAGTAATGAGTGGAGTTCGACTATTTTTCAAGTTGATACAGTTATGTAGCTTTTGGATTAACAACACCTCTACCTATAAGCTGATGGCGTTTAGGTGACTCATAGTTATATTGCCACAGCCAGTATCTATTGTAAGGTTCACTTGATTCAGGGTTAGATAAGAATTATATGTTTTTTTATAAACTTCAGGACTAAAATTTGATGTGATAGAGCTTAATAAGTTGAGCAATGGGTTAACATCGCTGCCTATAATACTGGGTGGGTGAGGTGGGTTCGCATTGTAGGTGAGATACCAGTTCTATCAAGGTTGGTGATAAGTGCCAACCAGCATGAAATCTAGGTCCACAGCTTCCCGCCGATTGCCTTCAACCAACTAGTGTTTAGACTTTTTTTTGCCTCAACTGGACCGGGGAAAAGATCTTAGAAGATTTGGATTTCGCTGATGACTTGTGTCTAATATCACACAAACTTGAAGATCTACAGGCGAAAACTAACAAGTTAGCAGAAGTGACAGGGTAGCGAAGACGGGACCTACTTCACGTGAACGTAGAAAAGACAGAAGTGATGAAGATACTCAACCAAAACCACCACCACCACCAACAACAAGTTCCAGTCACCATCAACGGGAGAAACATAAAGGAGGTAGCTTTTTTCACATATCTAGGCAGCATCGTTTCAACTACAGGCGGCACAGGCACAGACGAGGATGTCAAAACCAGAATCGGAAAAGCAAAACAGGCTTTCATTAATCTGAAATCACTGTAGAGATCTACTGCACTGCACTCAGCATAAAGCGTGAACAAGATCTGGATTTTCAACACCAATTGAGCCAAGTCAGTGCTGCTAAATGGTTCAGTGTCTTGACGCATTACAAAAGGCATTTCCAACAAACTAAAGACATCATCATCAACAGCTGCCTACGTTCACTTGATACTGAAGATCAAGTGACCAGAAAGAATCAGAAACAAGGAACTCACTCCGGCAACGAGCCAACCAAGAAGCTATCGCCCAACAAATATGCAGAATAAAGTAGAAATGGATTGGATTGGGCGTACATTGAGAAGACCATTTGTGGAAATCGTGTGTCAGGCTAGGCTGTGGAGTGGAATCGAGAGGGGAAACGACGAGTTGACAGTCTGAGGCGAGGGTGATATGGAGGAGATCGTGTGAGGAGTAAATGAGAGTTTGTGGGCTGTCGTGGAGCCAGCTTCAAAAGTTTGTAGAGAACAGAGTGCAATGGAGGTGTCTGTGAGTGATTTCGTTGCTCGCCCTGATTTGTCGTTTCCTTTAATTGTTGTATCATTGACTGTATAGATTTCCCTGTTAGTTGTTCCTTTACTTGACCTCTAACCTTTCTACCCTTCATCATCTTTCTCATTGTTTGATAGACTGGGTCTATGTCTATACATTTGTTGATTGCTGACTGTGTGACCTGAATGCTAGACTTCTAGGAATTCTCTGATATTTTTTGTGTTTCCTCTGTCCAAAATTTCTGCATTGTCGAAATTGAATTCATGTTCATAGTTGTGATCCACATGCATTGAAATGAGTGATGAAATGTCGTGGCGTTTGATAGCGAATTGGTGTAGTTTTTGATGAGTGTGTTCAGTCGTTCACAATAAGCTATTACGTAACAATAAGAAAACAAATGAATGATTATAGAAATAAGAAGGGGAAGAGGTGCACAAAATAAACCTAGAAGTTACGTCAGGTGACGGCCAAGGTTAATGAAAGTGGTCGAACAAGCTTCTTCTGAATACAAAGATTGGGTTTGTAAAGGTGGATTGCAATCGCCTCTGCTATGTGAAGTAAGCAAATGCGTAATCCATGTGGTAAATTAATTGGAATGTGATGAATGATTTTGAAAGCTTTTCTACTATCCGCTTGATGTCCTGTGTTAACTAAGTGTGCAAGTATGGAGTTCTTTATTGCTGTAATTTGTCCCTTGCTCAACCATGATGAGGTAGTGCTCAGAAATTTGACGATGGAACTGCCTCATTGTACAGCCAATGTAACTAGCTCCACAGGAGCAGTTGAATTGATGAATGCACATAGGAGTAACAGAATCAGGCAGTTTGTCTTTATTTCTTGCACCTAGAATCGCACGGTTGTAGAAGATGGGACATAATTTAGCTGCTGGGAATGCTCTTTGCAAGACTCTTCGCATGAGTTGCGTGACGATTTCACCAGCGATGTTACTCTTGAATTCCAGCTTCAAGAATATTATGAATTGTTGGCGTTCTTGTCTTAACCCTCGTAATATTCATATGCTTGTCTGAGTAGCCGTTCCTGCTAAGCAGATCACGGATGGTGGCACACTTTTCCTTTATAGCATCCTCTGAGCAAATAACTGGGGCATAGTATGCTGGACATTTCACCAGGTTCCTTTTGTATTGGAGGGGGTACGGCACTGGGGAAGGTTGTGTATGGACCTATTGATGTTGGCTTTCTATATACACTTCGTTTCAGGGTTCCATCTAACCTTCTTACCAACAGAACATCAAGAAATGGGATACTATCATTTTTCTCCTCTTCCATTGTGAAGTTGATTGCCGGATGAACACTATTGAACCTATTCAGAACAGCATTCTTATCAGTCTCACTTTCTAAAACTATAAAGGTATCATTCATGTAACGACAGTATAATTCTAAACGGCTTATAGTATCGTTCAGTGCAACATTCTCTGTTTTTGCCACAAAATATCTTCTGAGAGTGGGCCAAGGGATAACCCAAAATGCCTATGAACTCAGTAGTAGAACTAAAGTTTGTATTGAAGAAATTATGCTAGGGATATGATTTTTTTTGATTTCCATGGTTGTTAAATTACAAGCGAAAATATAACAACAAGCAGAAGAAGTAGCGATAGGATCTCCAGTATCCCCCAATTGTGGCAGACATTATTTATTGAACAGTTGGGAAGAAAAAGCAGTATGGAACATCTCAACCCATCCCAAAAGTATGGTGGTGGTATATAGCTGACATATTTACTGTATTGAAGTCAGGACATATTCAGACTTTTTTCATACACTCTCACACACACATTAACTTGATAGTAGATACAATCCAATTCACTTATGAATTAGAAAATGAAGCAGGAAAGTTACTTATGTTGGATTTCAAAAGGAGAGAAGATGGGAGCTTAGTTATCAGTATTTATAGGAAACTGACACATTTGAATAGATGCTTAAATTTTACATCATCTCACCCTGTATCTGTCAAAGGTAGGCTTGGTAAAATGTCTAATTAGTCGAGTTAGGAGTTTGACTACTAAGTCACAAAACCTAATTAGGGAAATGAAACACATTAAAGTGAGGCTACTCTTTAATAACTACCCGCAGGGCTTCATTAAATCGTTTATAATGGCTAATAAGGGAGAGAGTGATAATATTAGTGGTAATTGTAACATGTCTAAGAGGGAATTCAAATCTTCTGTAGCATTGCCGTATTGAGACGATGCATCGAACATTTTATGTAGAATTCTTAACGATGCTCAGATTAGGGTGATAATTAAACTCAAAAACTCGCTCAGAAAGAAACTTTGTAGGCTAAAAGATCAGCTAGAGCCAATTAAGGAAGTTTATTTAATCTTGTGCCTGATGTCACATAAACTTGAAGATTTACAGGCAAAAACTAACAAGTTGATAGAAGAGGCAGCGAAGACGGGACTTCAAGTGAATATAGAGAAGACAGAGGTGATGAAGATACCGCACCACCACCACCACCAACAACAACAAACTCCAATCACCGTCAACGGGAGAAACTTAAAGGAAGTAACCTCCTTCACTTATCTAGGAAGCACTGTCTCAACTACAGGCGGGACAGATGAGTATGTCAAAGTCAGAATCGGAAAAGCAAGACAGGCGTTGATTAGCCTGAAACCAGTGTGGAGATCTCCTCCACTGCACTAAGCATGCGGAGCAAGATACGGATTTTCAACACCAACGTCAAATCAGTGCTTCTGTAGGGTTCAGAGACTTGGCGCGTCACGAAAGGGATTTCCAATAAACTACAGACATTCATCAACAACTGCTTACGCTCACTCGCTACTGAAGATCAGATGTCCAGAAAGAATAAGCAAGGAGGAGCTCTGGGAACGAACCAACCAACAACCTATCACCCAACAAATATGCAGAAGAGAGTGGAAGTGGAGATGGATTGGGCATACACTGAGAAAGCCGACTAGGGACATCACGCGTCAGGCCAGTTGCTCGAGTGGAATCCCCATGGGAAGCGACGAGTTGGACGTCCGAGGGTGACATGGAGGAGGTCGTGCGAGGAGTTTCTGGGAGCTTCTGGGCTGTCTTGGAGCCAGGTTCAAAAGATTTCAGAGAACAGAGGTCACTGGAGACGTGCTACTGAAGCCCTATGTTCCACTGGGAACCCAAGGGACTAATAATAATAATAATAATAATAATAATAATAATTTAATCTACCAAATACCGTGTACTGATTGTGGGGTCAAGTATATAAGTCAAGGCAACCGGTTGAAGTTGGTCTGAATATCGGAGCACGCAAATTTAATGAAGCATATAAGGTGATCCAGAAAAAAATCGGCTATCGCTGCTCTGTATGCACTAACCCATAATCACACTATAGCATGAGATAAGATAGCAGTTCTAGAATCCAGTAATATACAGTTAAGTGGTAGGAGAGATTGATTATAGAATCTGTGTTCATTGAATCGAAAACTAACATATATAACCAGAATAACTCATCGTACATTACAAATATCTGGAAAATTTTACTACTACCTAAATAAAAGAATGAAGAAGTGTTGAACTGTATAAATGTAGTGGATAACGGACGCTCTGGCGTTTGAAGTGATCACTCTCGGGCCCGAATCCCAATGGGAACAACATCACTCATCGAGAAGCAGGTACATCCAGCTGACGAGTCCCGAATAGGACGAAATGCACATCATGAATTCCACTGCTAGCCACTATCCATCATTACTATATAACTGAAGTTTTAAAGTCGTGTGGTTACTTTGATATAATTGTGAGCTGTAAATTGTGATCAGAACTTCATTCAGTAAGTAATACTGTATCACTGTATTGGCTGTAACAAATAAACAATCTAACATGCACAGTTTTCTGCATTAAGCATGAGTTATATCTATTATTCAGAGACCAGTGATAAGATCGTGCTTCTAATACCCTAGTAAGTGGAACCAGGGACCAGACGCTTAACTTGTTGGGTAGAAGCGTGGAATGTCTGATCCACTGAGTTCGATCTCCAAAAATCTATGAATGCTTAACCTACTCAGCTGTTTCCTGTTTAGTTGAAGAGAATGTATGAGTAAATATGCCGTATGTGATGATTAGATACTGTTGTGAGCCGTGGTATATGCCGTCGGTTGGTATTGAGTCTACGAATTATGGGCCTTTTCTCCTACTTTTGGGAGGCCACGTAGTATGATTGCTTGCCTAGTGCATTTGCTTACATGCTATATATATATATATATATATATATATATATATATATATATATATATATATATATATATATATATATATATATATATATATATATATATATATATATTTGTGAATGTTGTAATTCCTTTTTCTATTTCTTTGCATATAGCCTATGGGAACTTGGTGACCCGATGATCTGTGATCGACTCCGAGAAGCCTTAATACCTGTCATGGACACTTTGAAGATATCACCTTTATCTGGTGCTAAAATCTTGTACAATCATCTTACTCAGTGATATATCTTACTCCAATAACCTTTTGTATTGATGATTTATTTTGATATTTCTACCATGTATGGTAATTATTCTGTCATGTGTTTACCGGTAGGGTATAGAGACACAAAAACAACGTAGCACCTCGCAGACCAGTGCGTCGCTTCAAGTTCTCACACTTCACAGTAGTATAAAGAACGGATGGGTAGAAAAAGATTGATATCAAAGTAGACAAAGATGTGTGAGAGAATGAGCAATTTGACTGACTTCTAGCCATGTCATCAAGAATTCTCAACCATTGATTCTTATTATCTCAGGGATCCTATCCAGGTAGTGTATATCTACCCACGCGACTCAAATGAACAGTCAGGAACTTCATCAACTGGGTCTACGCCTTAGTTTGAGCACCCTAAACCGTCTTCTGTTGTTGTTTCATATGGTTTTTTGCTATTTGTCACCTAGATACCATGGTAAAAATATTCTGTTTAAGAAGACTGCGTGATAGACATCATATCCATCCATCCAAATCAACAGAGGACCAGGCATTACTGCGTAACGGTCGAAATTACCACATCTTATATCACCACACAAAGTAAAAAGGCAATAAAATGGAAGATGAAGAATAAGAAAAATTGATTCAATGAAGTAAAAAGTAGTAAAATAGAGAAAGGAAGAATGAGATGATGAGATTAAGTATAACGGTTAACGTGAAGATAATGTATGTTTAAATGTGGGCCACTGACTTCGATTGTGAGCCATACCACCACTTACAGTCTCCAACCATCAGTTCCTCTTGTCCTGCTGACCCAAACAGGCTAGTCTGCATCGCCCTACATGACTCAAACCAACACTTCATACATTGATACCATGTTTTAGTCTGGTTGCGTCAAGCCATTTTCCAGCCTGAACCTACTTCGACCAACATTGTGTGACGAGGCAGATGGTGACTAGGCATACGTAACACATGTCGGAGCCAACCATCTCAGTCGATGAAGGTTCACAACCTCGTTAATTGACTAACCTCTCCTCCCTAAAACTCTACTTCTGACTTCCGTGTTACTCCTGTGGTGACACACCGGAATACGTCCTATACTACGAAGGCAATGGTGGTCAAACACCTAAAGCCTTCCCATGTCTTCCACCTCCAATGGCCATGTTTCACAGCCATAGAGTAGAACAGAGCGGACTACTGTGCAGTACACGTGACGCTTAGTAGACAATAGGATATCATGGCGGTTTCACAGATGGCATAAGTTGGCAGAAGCCATTCGAGCCTTTTGTGCAGGTTTGGTTAATTCAAGTTGCAAATGATAAAGATAGCCAATCCAGATTTGTTAGTCGATAAATCTGACATCTAGTTCTCGGTGAAAGTTTTTGCTATATGGTAGGTAGCTTTTGTCTTTTTCTGAAGTATGTATTGTTATAAATTACAGGGTTCAGCTTTTAATGGGTGAATTTTAAACGTAGATATACAGAAACCAACGTGGAATCTGTCAGAGAAGTGCATCATTTCACAACACCATACGCTGACGAAGTGCGTAAGAAAAGAATGAAAAGACTGTGTAAGAGGAAAAGGAATAAACTGATGAAGATTGATCAGAACTTTCTAGTAATTCGAAAGTGAAAAAGCAGAGTACATCTGCGCCTGTTGTGACCGATTTCGAGCGATCTTGTCCTCAGTGTTTGGTTCTGATCATCTCGAGAATCTCAACAAAATTGACCATATCTCTCTACTCACCTCAGACCAGCGGTTGAAGACTTCGTGGTCTTACCATCTTGAGTCTTCTTTCAACCCAATCCTTCTCTGGATAACATTGTATGTTGAGGTTCAGCTTGCTTAATGCATGTTTTAGTCACAGTCGTTGAAAGTTCCTAATCTTATTTACCTACTCGCCTTCTTTAGAAGATCAACGACAACCATTGAGGTTCCAGTGTAGATAAAAGGAAGTATACAAATGAAATTACTTATCATACGGATGTTGCACCTTACGCATAACATCGACATTACTCATACCATCATCACACCATACGCATGTAGTGCCACGAAGGCGCCTTTGCGAAAGAACGTGTAAGCTTTCCTAACATTCTACTTTCATCAGCCGTCTCATAGCCATTTAATAGAATACAGCATAGTATACTTGTCATTGAATAACTTCTCGGTGTCAGGGATTGCATAAGTTGGCAAATGTTAAACTTAGCTGTTATTGTTAAGATTTCAGCCATCAACCCATTTCCCATGTAGGCTAAGTCAACGCATTCAAGCACTTTATTCACATGTCTTAAACTAGGATTATTTGAAAAATCAGCTCCATAACATTATTTTACTTCTGCCAAACATAATTAGATTTCTGTTCAAAGCGTTCAGAAAACTCAGCATTTTGTTAGTATCTTCATCCAACAAGATTCTGTCGTTTGTGTAGTTCATGTCAATTTCTAAGTAAATTTCAGCTAATTTGGCTTATCTATGGAAGTTTTAAGTATAGTCGGTTGGGTTTCAGTGTTCTAAGTTGTCACTATGAACGTGTTAATTCTGTTCGCTTCATCTGAATGCTTACCGTGGAGAGTTGTTAGAAGAATCTTGTTTTCTAGTAATAATAATAATAATAGTAATAATTTCAATGTTTGTACTTAAAAAGGAATAATCAGAATCACAGTTTCATGTTTGACATGATATTACAGCTAGCTAGGTGCATTCAGCAACTAGTAAAAATGGAGAATTCAGTATAATTGAGTGCCAACGATTCAAATGGTGATGAACTCACCAGGAAAATTGTACATATTAAATCAGTAACCACAAGTAGTAAAGTTAAATAATGCTGAAAAACAATATCGATGTTGAAAAACTGTTTTTTTTTTATTGTACTCGAACGTGTATATGTGTATAAGAACAGTGATTTCCGATATGTATACAGCTCGAAGTTTGGTACGATTAAGTTAGTTTTGCGTGTACTCAGGGCGTTAATCACCAATATTCTATATGATTAGTCGAAGCACTTCGAGAAGTAGTTGTATTAGTTAGCCAATAAACATCGTTTAGTACGTACCAGTTTGCAGTCGTTAATATATATGGTTCATCAGGTATTGCGTAGACGGATCTTGACGACTGGCCAATAGGATGAGTTTGCAAATTCGCTTGGAAACTAAGTGTCTTATTTCTGTAGTAAATCCACTATCGTATGCGCTTAATACTGTGTCGTACTGAATAGTGCCAAAGCGTTCCATATCCCAGATAATATTGATAATGAAGACAAGAGGAAACAATGGATTTATTGGGTAATAAAGTCATCAACGACACCAGAATAAAATTCTTGATTTTTATTACCTTTTTCATGGTATAGAAGCCAACCTAGTGGCTGAGTGGTTGACGTGTTCGCCGTGAAACCTGAAGGTCCTGGGTTCGACCCCTAGCCAGGTCGTGGGTGCGTACTGCTGAGGAGTCCCGTACTAGGACGAAACAGCTGTCTAGTGGTCACAGGTTCTCAATTGTTCCCCAACTGATGTCAATCCATGATGAATACTACTTCTAAATTAAAATATGTTAGTCGTAAAAGAGGAAAGAAGTCAGTGAACGAGTTTTCTTTGAGCGATACCATCCTCGGAAATCGTATTGAAGTTATTGAAATACTTGATCGAGTCTTGAATACTACTGAAGTATGCGGATAGTTGGCACTTCCCAGCTTCCTATACCGTGCAACGTTATTTCTTCGTAAGGTACCTGATTGAGAAGATTTTCGTGACCCATGATCCCATGGGATATCTGCTTGAGGTCTGTCACATATAGCCTTTTGAAGATTATTGGTATGAGGTTTGACTGTTCTATCGTTAGACACAGAAAACCCATCTCACCGTAACCGGAATATCGTACGGCAAAGAGGAGTGTGCTACTTTGGCGGTAGGGAAGGCAGCATCAGCATTTCATTGGTGTTTATTCAAGGAAAACATCGTACCTGTGTCACAGCACCCAGGCAGCAGTGCGACTTCGCCATCGGACCCCTATCATAATGTTGCAGTCGGTCAGGATTTCAATAATTGAATAATAATTTATCAGTTTACATATCTAATGGTAAAATACTTCAATGTTTGCCAGAATGCAAAAGACAGCACGAATAACGAATAGTTTGGGGATTTGCAGTGTTAATCAATGAATGTAAAATATAATTCTGGCTTCTACTTCCAGTGAAAGCAACAAACATTGTGAAAAGTTAATTAATATAAGTCATTCAGAGAACGTACCATGGTGAATACGTGAGAGAAGAGAAAACTATCTCTATTGGTTGCTTCATTGTTAATACGTTGGTTCATTTGTTTCAGTGGAGTTAGATATACAATCTATGCGGTGAAGTAGAATATTCAACATCGATGTGAACACCTTCCTATATGGCTCATTAATGGTGAATTTAGACTAATCAGATGGTTCATCTTACAACATTTAATAATTGACAGAGAACAAGAAAAAATTTACAAGATTTGAAAAGAAGCTTATAAAAAGTACAAATGAACGTCTATTTATTTATGCAATGTTGATAATTTCACTGCAAGGAAGTGTTAGTTAGAATTTTGTGTTTAAAAGTAAGCTTTCCATTCATTTTCTTTTATTTACTCTATGAACTTAACAAATTCTTCATGTCTTTTACGTTTTGGATAAATGGTTGATAAATATTGATATTTTCTACCAATATATGCTAATTAATTAATTATTTATTTAGATACTTCCAATGACGAAACAAATATGTTTTGCTCAAGTTTTTTCTATGTTGATAATCCACTACGCCCAATATTGTCAATGTGTCAGTCTCCCACACATAAATTGGCGAGGTGGTTAGCCGAATTACTGAGTCCGATTCGTAATGATTTATGTAAGTATTCACTGAAAAATACGTTTGAACTTGTTGATTATCTTACTGATTTGAATATTAAAAATAAGAAAATGTATTCTTTTGATGTTATCTCTCCATTTACAAATGTGCCTCTAACGAAGACAATTAATATTCTTTGTGACCACATATCTTCGAATTATCCTTCTTTCCCTATTCCTTCAATTTATTTGAAAGAACTGCTTTTATCATGTACTGATAAGGTTCATTTCACTTTCGAAGGTGAACACTTTCGGCAAATTGATGGTGTAGCCATGGGGAGTCCATTAGGACCGTTATTAGCTGATGTATATATGTCACATACTGAACTAATGGCTCAAGATCTAATCACCAATGTCACACTCTATAGAAGGTATTTGGATGATATCTTTGTAATATGTGACACAGATGAGGATGCCAAGAGGTTGTTAAAAAGGCTTAATACCATACTAGATCATATCAGTCTGACATGTGAGGAAGAAAAAGACCATCAACTTGCATTTCTTGATATACTCTTGTGCCGGAGGGAAGATGGATCTATAAAACGATCAATATATAGGAAGTCTGCTTGGACAGGACAGTATTTGAATTTCCATAGTTTTTGTCCGATGAAATATAAGAGAGGCTTGGTAAGATGCTTGTTCAATAGAATCCAACGTATTTGTACATCTGATACGATGGATGATGAGAGTAAGTTTCTGACAGACACTCTAGTGGAAAACGGTTATCCATTACAGTTTGTCAACCATTGTAAAAAACAGTTGACCCCAAAGCCTCGGTCCCGAAGAAAAGCATATTTCTTAAAGTACCATACAGAGGGGAAACAAGTAGTATGATATTGAGGCAGAGATTAAAATCTGTAGTCAGTAAAACAGACTATGCAGCTCAGTTTATCATTGTTGAGACGACAAAACACCTGCTTTACCACAAACCTTTCACAAACGATTACATCACATCCTACTGAGTTTACCAATTTACATGTATGTGTGGGCACACATACATAAGGAGGAGTAATCGTTCAATGCAGACTAGGGTGGGTGAACACATCCCCAAATGGCTAGAAAAACAGTTTAACACACAAACTTTGATAAGTGCAGGTGACAGACATCCATCGTCATCTATGGCAAAACATATTATTGAAATGAATCACAGGGTTAATACGAAAACAGCGTTTAAGATAATATACAGGAATAATCAGGGGCGCATACTGAAGTTTGCCGAAGCGTTAGCCATTCGTAAACTTAATCCCCCGCTGTGTGTACAAAAACAATTTGTTGTTTCACTTAATTTACCTTGGTAATCCTTATCTGATTACATTACCAAGACTAGTGTCACAACCTTTTCATTTTCACTAAATTTGACCTTTAATTTTCATATATAAATTGACTTGACAAGTAAATGTGTGAGGATCAGATTGTTCGAAATGTATTGCGCAAATACATCACATTTTTTAGATAATCTTCGTCTTGTAATAGCGTTATCGAAATTTATTAAATGGACTAATTGTTTCAAATAATGATATTAGTTGGATAGAAGCAATTGAAAGGAAACTGTGATCACAGGTTTCATGCTGATTGACACTTGTCAGCAAAGTGTGTTTTACAACCTTGATGAAACTGATTTCCTGCCGGATATTTGAACCAGCGTCTCCATTGCTTCAGTCTCAGACGTTACCACTGAGTTAATTGGGCAGCAATTGACCTCGTGTAGGGCTAGACTACATGTATTGGTTGGTCACTGGAGGGTAACTAATAAATGTAAAATCTTTCTTCTTTTGTGATTTTAAAATAATCTAGTTATTGGGAAGTCGAATAAGCAGTAATAATACGAAATAATTATTTTATTATTTATCCTTTGGGTTCCTAGTGGAACGTAGGGCTTCAGTAGCACATCTCCATTTCACTGTCTTCTCTGCAGTCTTTTGAACCTGGCGCCATGACTGCCCGAAAGCTCTCATTTCTTCCTCTCATGATCTCAGCCATGTCACACTCACCTCGGACACCCAACTCGTCGTTTCCCTTTTGGATTCCACTCAAGGGCGTGGCCTGATGCGTGATGTCCCCAATGAGCCTTCTCAATGTATGCCGAATTCATCTCCACTTTCTTCCTCTGCCCATTTGTTGTGTGATAGGTTGTCAGTTGGTTCGTTCCCAGAGTTCCTTGTTGTTTATTCTTTCTGACCATCTGATCTGATCTTCAGTATCGAGTGAGCGTAGGCGGCAGCTGTTGATGATGTATGTCTATAGTCTGTTGGAAATGCTTTTCGTCTCTCAACCAACACACTGACTTAACATTGCTGTTGAAAATCCGGATCTTGTTCACGCTTTATGCTGGGTGCTGCGTACTGCAGTGCAGTAGATCTCCACACTGATTATTTCAGAATAATGAAAGCCTGTCTTGCTGCATTCCGATCCTGGCTTTCACATCCTCATCGGTGCCACCTGTAGTTGAAACGATGCTGCCTAGGCAAGTAGGTGAAAGAGACAACTTCCTTTAGGTTTGTCTTTTTGATGGTGATTGGCGCTTGTTGTTGTTGTTGTTGATTGGGTATCTTCATCACCTTTACCTCTGTCTTCTCTACGTTCACCTGAAGGATTGATTATTAGAAGTATCAGCGTAACTATTAATTGTCGTATGGTAATGACAGTTATATTTGTCTAAAAACTATCTCAAGAGTATCATGTTAGAATATTGTCTTGAACAACGAAATGGAACGTTCCTTGAATGTTTTTGCTTGCTGTTACACTAAGGAGAGCGTAGGAAATAATTTCGTTTATTCAGTCCTCTTTATTTCAGTCACTATCAGCTGTCATTCGAGGTGTATGACAGCATGGAACATTTACATAAGTGCTAGTTTGATTTATTAGTCTATTTCCAACTTAAAGTTGGTAAGAAAATAAAACATTGAGCCCTACTGAAGACTGTATATTTGCTAATCATTAATTACTATCTCAGTGAATTGATTTAGGCCTGGAAAAAGTAAGAGACGGTCGAACTAAAATACGGCAAAAGTCTTTGACTTTTGATTTGAACCACATAGGTGGATGTAGACTTCTCGATTGAGTTCCGTATGACAACAGAAATCAATGGTTTGAGATTCTAGGTAATATAGCTCCAAAACAATCTCAATGACACAGATGTTTCCATACTTTATATTCACCTTAATTGTCATACTTAACTTCAGTATTCTCTTATTCCTTCTTACTCTCTTTTGGCAACTTTCAACCACTTTTGACTGCTTTCTTCTTTCTTTACCTCTCATCTTAGCGCATTCTGGCTCAATTTATGCTGATATAAAGTGTGGTAACTTGACCTGTTGCATAGAGCTAAGACTAAAAGTTATCCCCAGGTGTTTTCGCACTTTATTTGAAAAAAAATATTTTATCTGTTCTGAATGTATATATTTCTGAAGTGAAAGCTGCAGTCATAAATCCTTTTGGATGTATATCCGAAGTCTCAAGTAACTCATTGTGGTTAGTGAGCATCATTTATCCTGAATAACTGTACTTACTTTTCGCTCAAGCAAGTGGGAGTTCATTCAACACTTTGTACATGAATAGACAGTTTAAAACACGATTAAATGTCAGACTTCATTGTAAAAACTACTCAGATAGGTGAAATATTCATATAAAACACAGAAAATGTTTGTTTTTTCATAAAAAATCTTGCAACCTATGAAGAACATGATAACACCTGGGGATAACTTTTAACCTCGCCCATGGTAGTACCAAGTCCTATGGTCTTATTGTTTATCTCATCTCATTGAATCTGTCAGTATATCCATAGCACTTATGTAATTTATAAATGATGGATCGTGGCTAGCAGTGGAATCCAGGATGCGCGTTTCGTCCAATTTGGGATGAACATTTGGGAACAACATCACTCACTGGGAAGCAGGTACATCCAGCTGATGAGCCTCAGATAGAACGAAATATACATCCTGGATCCCACTGCTAACCACAATCCATCATTCTAACCAGGCCACGCCCTCGAGTGGAATCCAAATAGGAAACGACGAGTTGGGTGTCCGAGGCGATGGTTACATAGAAGAGATCGCGTGAGGAAGAAATGAAAGCTTGTGGGGGGTCGTGGCGCCAGGTTCAAAAGACTGCAGAGAACAGGGTGGAATGGAGGCGTGCTAGTGATGTCGTATGTTCCACTAGGAACCCAAGGGAAAAATAATAATAATAATAATAATAATAATAATAATAATAATAATGATCATAATAATAATATATCTTGATATTCTGGGTTGTAAACACTTGACAAGATACTACCGAAATAAAATGGATTCGTTTAACCCTGCTTTCATTGTTGTTTTTGGTCATTTTAGGAATTCGTGTATAGTAATTATTATACGATTGTAGAGAAACGATGAAATGATATCATCTCGAAGGGTTTTATGAAGTCTTGGCTTTCGTGTTAAGAAGTTAATTCTTGAAAATGATCTTCATAATAAATGGAATCTACCTGATCAACTAGTTCATATTATAGAGGGTCTAAATGAATACAGAGATTTATTTGAAGAGGATTTAGATAGACTGTCAGCTTTCAATTGGCTAAATGACAATATCTGTCCGAGAATCTCAAAAATCTAAGTTAGGACTGACATATACGATATTCAATCTTAAACAGTTAAAAGAAGTTACCAGAAAGTCATGATTGTGGATCTTGTGATTGGCAGTGTTTATCAATATGAGTTATTTACAATCTCATGGAAAGGCTTCAGGTATTTGGCCACCATTGCCTTCTTAGAGTAGGTCATGTGTTGTAGTGTCACCACGTAACACGGAAGTCAGAAGTAGAGTTTTAGGGAGGAGAGGTTAGTCACTCAACGAGGTTGTGAACCTTCATCGACTGAGATGGTTGGCTTCGACATGTGTTACGTATGCCTAGTCACCGTCTGCCTCATCACACAATGTTGGTCGAAGTAGGTTCAGGCTGGAAAATGGCTTGACGCAACCAGACTAAAACATGGTATCAATGTATGAAGTGTTGGTTTGAGTCATGTAGGGCGATGCAGACTAGCCTGTTTGGGTCAGCAGGACAAGAGGAACTGATGGATGGAGACTGTAAGTGGTGATATGGCTCACAATCGAAGTCAGTGTCCCAGATTTAAACATCCATTATCTTCACGTTAACCGTTATACTTAATCTCATCATCTCATTCTTCCTTTCTCTATTTTACTACTTTTTACTTCATTGAATCAATTTTTCTTATTCTTCATCTTCCATTTTATTGCCTTTTTACTTTGTGTGGTGATATAAGATGTGGTAATTTCGACAGTTACGTAGTAAGGTCTAGATTTATATTGCCCTTGATGATGATGATGTACAGTCTCAAAGGAAACAGCATTCTTCAACAGCCAGGATGATATGAAATACGTATTCGCTTACTGACTTTTCTGTACTTCATTGTCATTCATAAGCCTATTAACACTGAGGGATAGTCTTAGAATTCAGCAGTGGTTTACGCTTAGAAGGATGTGTGGAGAAGAGTATTCTACTACTGCATCTTGTTAATTAGTATCGATAGGTATGCAAGTTAAAAACCAAGTTGGTTAAAGGCGGTTTACAGGAAGCCGTGAATCTAAATTTCGTCATCTAGACATAACTATAACCTAAGTTGTGTCTGCCCGATTATCTTCTGTCTTCAAATGTGTACAGAAGTTGTACTTCATTATGAATTCCAGATTCATAGTTTTCAGTTGTGGTCCGATAAATTTTTGGCATAGTGGGATTGAAAACAGTACAGAATTAAAATATACTCACAGTTTAAAAATATTTCTCACCTGAATTTTGAGGGGGTTGTGGGGATTGGAAATATTTCAAGTTGTTATTCATCGTAGACTGACATCAGTAGCTTCATGGTAACGTGCTGGCCAAGGAACCTGAAAGTCGTGGGTGCGCACTGCTGAGGAGTCCTATACTAGTCGGACGAAACAGCTGTCCAGTACTCTCAGGTTTCCTTTGTTCCTCCAACTGGTGTTAGTCTACGATGAATAACAACTTGGAATATTTCTCACCTGTTTAATAGACTATATTCTTAAATAGTAATTTATGAAAACATTTTTCCAACAATCTGATCACATATGAAAACATTTTTATTTTTCACCGTACATATAACATTTAATTCCTAATTATAAGAAATTAGTTTACATGACCTACTTACTTTTCATTTATCTATGTTGGCAGTTAGCAATGGATTACGTGTGTGTGTGTGGGGGGGTGATTTTCACACCTTTTCCTTCTCTATCCAACCTTCTTATTCAGCGTGTATTTCACTTTCGCTTCATTCTCCTTGTTTATCATGTTAGACAAATTTGTCATTTTGTCGTTTGTGACCTTGTTTTGCTTTTTTTTTTCACCTCTCTCACTCTGTATCTCTTTCCACTACTTCTGTTATAGATTAAAAAACTAAAACAAAATGTGAAGGTGATCAGGAGTTGGAGAAAT